ATTTTTGGTAATATAGTGCAATATTTAGTGTTGTAAACGAAAAAACGTTATTTTATCAACGTTAATATCAATAACGTTGCTTTCTTCATCTTTTCATCGATTTTCAGAATCGCAAACCGAGGGTCGTTAAATCACAAATATTATTAAGTGCATTCAGAAATTGCTGCCAGAGAGGAAAATGATGGAAGAAGTCATGGTGTAAGTAACAAGGTGTGCTACTGCGCAGGCATTTCTACTGACCAATAAAGCCCGTTCTACATTGATCGCATGTCGCCAGTCGCAAGCAAATCGACCAATCACAGTCGATTATTCCGTCGAATATTCGACTGTGATTGGTCGATTTGCTTGCGACTGGCGACATGCGATCAATGTAGAACGGGCTTTATTGGTCAGTAGAAATGCCTGCGCAGTAGCACACCTTGTTACTTACACCATGACTTCTTCCATCATTTTCCTCTCTGGCAGCAATTTCTGAATGCACTTAATAATATTTGTGATTTAACGACCCTCGGTTTGCGATTCTGAAAATCGATGAAAAGATGAAGAAAGCAACGTTATTGATATTAACGTTGATAAAATAACGTTTTTTCGTTTACAACACTAAATATTGCACTATATTACCAAAAATTAAAAATAACAGCCTTGTTTTCTGTAGCTGCACGTCTCCTATACATTTTTTCTCTTTCTAACGCTTCAATATATATATCTATTTCATTTTAAATGCAGAAAGAGGGTATAGGTCTGTTCTTTATATTTGAACTGGCTGCACTAGTTCAGAGCTTATCTTTCTCCTTCCAATGGGGAGATAAAAAGATAAACTCTGAACTAGTGCAGCCAGTTCAGCTATAAAAAACGGACCCTATATAGTGCAGCTACAAAAGATGTGTTCCGTTTGATTCTAGAAAAGTTTCGATTCGTTTGATTGGTCAGAACGATAGAGAAAAAGATTTCTTTGCTCTGATTGGACAATTTAATGATACTCTATCCCACGAATAGGATTTTCGAACGCATCTTTCGATAGCAGGGCAGCGATCATAGACATAGTATATCTAGACCGAGCGTTTGCCTTTATTTAAGGAGTGGGGGCCGATGCCCACGTAGAAAAGGACATACTCTGTTTCGTGCCCCTTGCGTTCTCTCTCGCTCGCACAGAGCATAGCGCTCTCTTTCGTCATGCTACGTGCGAGCGAGAGAGAACGCAAGGGGCACGAAACAGAGTATGTCCTTTTCTACGTGCACCTCGGCTCCATCATCTCTCTTTGTCAAACGATCAGTGTACTACCAGCATCGAAAAGTGGATGTAGCACGGATTTGAACCAAAATCGAAAAGTGGATGTAGCATGGACATGAACCAAAATCGACAGTATCGAAAAGTGGATGTAGCACGGACATGAACCAATCGGCTGTTTTGTCGGCTCCGAAAGTGGATGTGGCCATGTAGTTCCAGGCGGCGTAAAATGGATGTACGTGACGCTAGTGTACGACCTAGAAAAAGCGTTACACGAAAAACGGCAGCGTGGCGACTCTCATTCTTCTCTCTGCTATGTCTATGGCAGCGATCATGTAACTTTTCCCCTAGGGCGGAAACGTGAAACTTTTTACATGAACTTTTTTGCCATAAAATTTGGTGACGGAAAGGCGGAAATCTAAGGAATTAACAAATATATTTCGGAATTAGAGTAAGTATGGTACATTCTTTTGTTATATTATTTTACATACATATAAATATGTATATATATATATTAAATACACATATATACATATTTTTTTTCTTATCTATCTTACTTATTCTTATATTTTCCTTTATTTTTTGGTCTCACGAAACAGATGAAGAAAAAAATTACGAAGGATTTTGATGGTAATCAATTAAAAAATATATCTTACGTTTTCAAAGATCTTTCTTTTGCCATCAAACTATTATTGAAAATAATGAAAAATATGCGATAAGATTTCTAAGATATTTACTTATCTTTCAGAATATATACAGTTCGATATAAAAAAATATTATATATGTTAGAAAAGGATAACTATAATATAAAAGGCTATTCCCTACATCTTTATTTCGCGTTGACTCCTTCAATGGCAATGCGAAAAAAAAGAAAAAATAGGACTTTCAAGATTGTGACAAGAAAATAAGATCGTTATTCTATGTAGAAATTATAAACGACATTGTTACTTTCATTTTTGCATCTTTTCTCTTTCTTTCCTATTAGGTCTCTATACTCTTCTGTAAATTTTTTAAAGCGAATTTCGATCGAGACAAGGTGGTTGACGGTGGGCGAGGGGGGGGGGGGGGGGGG